ACTTGCCTTAGTTGCACAGGCAGGACTAAGGAAGCCCCCTTGGGCTTGGTACTAAGGCACAACAAGGCTAATAGTAGGCTTGGTTGTGACATTTGCCCTAGGAAGCTAGAGAGTTTGTGGTTAGGTGGCTAAGGGTAGAGGCTTCGCTGAGGTGAGCACGAACATGGCTGATAACAGGCTATGAAGTCCTGAGAATGTATGTACTGGCTAAATAGAACTGAGAAGGCAAGTGCAGCAGCAAGGTTTACCGCTGCAAGTGCACTTGCTGAAGTTCGAGCTGAGAAAGCAAGTGCAGTAGCAAACATTCCTGCCGCAACTGCACTTGCTGAGGCTTAAAAAGAGAGTTGCAGTGCCAAACACTCCCGTCCCAACTACATATACTGAGGCTCAAAAGGTAGTTGCGGAGGCAAACAGATAGTACACAGTACATGCAGAGGGACACGTGGCACCTTCAGCTTGGTAGCTCAAGACAGAATATTCTGTGGGATCCTTAGGGACACTTGTCTTCTCTCTATTTGGCCACTTAGTGTCCTCTTGGTACCGAGGAAAAGCCTATAAATAGAACCCATTTCCCAAGGTCCAAAGAGAGGAATTTTGGGGACTTAGGGGAGATGCTGCCCATTTGTGCACTACCATTGTCTTCTTCTTTAGCTACTTGCTTCACCCTCACCCAGCTACTCACTCTCAAACTTCCAAGCAGTTGTAACTGCTCATTCTCCAGCCATTTCACCATTTTTAGACCATCAATATAGTTTTGCCTCTCTAATCATCTTTCTAACATTGAACCCCCCTACAGAAAGAGAAACAACTGATAAAGATGCCTAAGTAAGAGAGAGAGAGAGAGAGAGAGAGAGAGAATCATAAAGAAAGAGAAAGAGAAGACGTGTGAATTCAAAAACTACGAGTAGTTTGATAATTTTACAAAAGTATATCATTATGGACATAATATTGGGTTGAGACCCTACTGTGCGGATGCCAGTAGACTTATTTACCGTATGTATTTTGATAATTTGAAATGTTCATATTGTAAGGTTTGCTAAGTATATCATTTATATAAAAAAATCAAATTAATTAGACATATGTAACCTCATAATTAAGTCATAATTGTTTTTAAAAAATTATTAAAATCATAGTAACCGTTTATTTTTTGAAAAACAAATGTGCTATTATTATAAGGTTACAAATGTCCAAATTACTTGATTTTTTATATAGATGATCTACTCAACGAATTTTACAATATGAACGGTTTAAATTATCGAAAAAGACTCGGGACACACCTTTAATGGCATTAGCGGAGCCAAGAATTCAGTGAAGAAGGGGTACAAATTAATGATAATATTGACTTTATTTTTTCCTCATAATAAACAACAATGAGATATTACTAAACATAAATATTAAGAGTTTATTTGGATATATATGAATTTTAAATTAAAGGATTTGAGGTTAAATTTTATACATATATTGTGGAGTAACTATTTTAGGTGAATTGAAAAATTAAAAAAGAAGATAAGTAAAGATAGAAATGATATAGTTTAGTAGAGAAATTCTATAAAGTACACCACAAAAAAAAAAATTATTTATCATATGTCGCAGTTATGATCTTTGTGATATTTAGTTGTGACACATTATAGTGTTGGATATAACTTAGTTATAACTTCTTGTGATTGTTATTTTAATTATAATTGAAAGGTTCTTTGATTATACATCAAGTAATGATTCGTAATGATTCATTCTGATATTAGTTATGACTTATTGTGATTTTTTTTTTTGGGTCATAATTAAAGATGTGTTGTTTGGTTATAATTTATATAGTAGTCATTTTAGTTATGAATGAAAATAATTTGGTTATGAAAATTTATAATATCAATACCATAAAGTAATAACTAGTTTATGGTACACCCCTTTTGGAGGTGTATAGTAGAAAGACTTATTTCAGTAGGTTCATTGTAATTAGAAAGAAAATTTATAATAGAGGGACTATTATAATTTGAAGAAGGGATATTATTATAATTTTATAGCTATGGTTCTAGAACTACCTTGCAAAAGAGAAAACAGACAGCACCTCAGCCTGATTTCACCAAAATAGATATGACCACTAGGATAGGCATACACTGTCTCTGCCCCTGCTTAATGGGCCTCATAGCAGCCTACTGTGTCATAAGGCATTGCAGCCTGTTGTGTCATAAGGCACCGCAGGAACCCCAATTTTCATAATATTTCAACATATTGACTTTTGGACAAAGAAAATTTAAATTTAAATTTATGAACCGAGTGCCCAAAAAATAAAGCATAAAAGTGTTATTTATGCCACTAAAATAATATATGACATTTTAAAATATATATATATATTAAAAGAAACTTTAGTTTTTAAAATTATTTTAGCACTAATAATTTAATTTTTAATTTCTAAATATTATAATATATTATAGGGTAAATTACAATAAATCCCCTTAAATTATACCCCATTTGCGTCTTGCCTCCCTAGACTCCAATAGTTAACCCTTTACAAAATATTATCTTATTACAGATAACTCTTTTTGTTAGAATTTTGTTAAAAATTTACACCAAATCAAACAATATGTAAAGTACATAACACACTTATTATATTTTTAGCGAAATAATGCATTTATCTGGTGATTTTATTTACACTTTGCTACTCAGATAAGAGAGACAAAGTGTAAATGAAATTATTAGGTTAGTGTATTATTTTTCTTAAAAAATCAATAACGAGTATTATTGTCTTAAAAAATCAATAAGTGTGTCACGTGTTATAGCTTGACTCCGTTTAAATTTCGAGACAAAATCTTGTTGTTAAGTATAACAAAACAATAGTTTGAGGTGTTCACTGTTACGTTTTGAAGTTTAAAAAAATAAAGTGCCAATGAATCATAATTTAAGGAGGTTTACTATAATTTGCTTTATATTATAAGGGACTTGGACCATAAGCCTAATTTTAAATTTTTGGACATTAGCCACAAATCCTACTCTTCTAGGCCTAAAAGACAAAATAATATGAAAGATTATATTATTCTTACTAATTAATATGGTTGTTTATTCACATCATCAATGTCATCAATCTGTTTACGTGTTATTTTGTTACTATCACCATTAATTGTCATCGCCGACGACTGTTGACTACGTTTCAGTGATTTTTTTAATACTGACAATGGGCCAATGTTCATCTAATAGCAATGAAATAAAAATAAAAATAAAAATAAAAAATTATTTCAAAACAATAATTTATCTTTCACACTAAACAATTTTATTAATAATATTCTTATTTTAAAAAAGAAAAATGCTAGAGGTCTCAAATTTTTTATTAAATAAATGACCAAATGTCTCACATGGGTGTGGGGTCTACAAAATTGAGGACCCCACACCCATGTGAGACATTTGATCATTTATTTAGTAGAAAATTTAGTGTTCCTAACATTACCCTTTAAAAAATCATTTCTTTGACGCATTGCCTCGTGTTATGACTAAAAGAAGCTTTAACCATCAAGAAGATGAACATTGAACACAACTCACTGGTCTCTCACCCACCTCTCCCCTTGTTTGACAAAAACAAATCAGGGCCGCAACGTGGCACACAACCAGTGGTCTATGGGAACCACTGATCAAAAAATTAAGGGATTATTCAATGGGTACACAAACCGTCCCTCTATTTTGATACTCGTACTTCGCTTATTTTTGATTTTTTAATTATGACATATTTGGTATTAAATTTTAAATTTTATTTTAAATAAAAATAATTAAAAATATCATTACTCAATTTTAAAGATAAAATTATTAATTTAATAAAATATAAATTAATTTGATAAAAATAAATGTCAAAAAATTATTTTTAAATTTTTAAAAATTATTTTTACCTACTAAAGATAAAATTATGTAATATTAATAAATCTTTTACATATTTATTTAACCAAATTAATGTTTATTATATATTTTGATGATAATCACATAATAAATAGTTGTTAGGCTTTTAATGTGTAATCAATATATTAATATATGAAATGTTTTTAGTTTTAGATTTTTTGATATAATGGATTAAGTTAATAATGATATCAAAATTGCCGCCATATTTAACTTTTAGAAAAATAGAAACCAATTTAATGAAAATAAAAACAACCACTCCTTATATGATCTTCATTCAAACACATAATAAAAATTAATTCGGTAAAAAAATAAATGGACAAATGTGTAAAAAAATTTATCAATTTTACATAATTTTATTTTTGATGGATAAAAATAATTTTTTAAAATTCAAAAATATTTTTTGATATTTATTTTTGTTAAATTAGTTTATATTTTATTAAATTGATGATTTTATCTTTGAAATTGAGCAATAATATCTTTAATTATTCTTATTTAAAAAAAATTAAAATTTTAAATTAAATATGTCACAACTAAAAAATTAAAAATCAAAATAATATAAATCTCAAACTATTGGAACAGTCAGCATAATTTGTCATAATTCAATCAAACAATGCCTCCGTTTAGAAAGTGGGTTTGTTTTTTGACTTTTTTGATTATTTTAATTTGGGTTAAAAAATTTGGTGTGGGAAAAAAAATTTGACTTTTTGAATTTTTTGACTTTTTTTATAAAAGAAGAGTGTAATAATTATAAATTAGATGTAATATTTTATTTGTTATGATTAAAATAATTTATTTTATTTTTTATAACTAAAATAGCAAAAAAAAAAAAAAACTATTGCTAAACGGAGTCAACATCATTTTGATTAGTTAACCAGAAGGAGCCATCAAACGTGGGTCAATTCATCACAGGATGCCACATGGTCTCTTTGAGTGGGACCCACATGAACCAAACTCTCTCAATGAAAATTCATTAGTCCTTTGTAACATGGGACTCTCCTTTGGTTGACACATGTACCTCTCTCTCTCTCTCTCTCTCTCTCTTCTGGGTCTTCCCCTTACTTTCTTCTCTCTCCAAGTAGTGTTTTGAGACGGTAAGCTAACTTACGCTTGATTGATTATGCAACATATGCAACATATATACATGTACAAAGATTTAGATATATAGGTGTATTTTGGTTGTAGTGTCATAGGTGTCCTTATGGGTGCTCAAATTATTTGAGAAAAGTCTTCAGAGGCTGAGAAATAGTAGGTGGTGTATTGACTCAAAATCTTCGTTTTTTTTAGTTTTTTTTATATAATTTTTTTTGGGTGCTGATTAATTGGGGGGGTTTAGAAGAAAAACAGAGAGAGAAAACCCATGATTTTAAAGATGAGAGGTGGGGCACTGATCTAGATTTATGGGAAGAGAAGCCAAAATCTTGAGGTTTTTCTGGGAAGTTTGGTGATTCTTTGGACAAAATCTCAACTTGAGACAAAAGCTTTTTGTCTCAAGTTGTAAGTTCTACTACATAGTCCCAATTGCTTTCTCTTTTTTTGTGCTTTGCTGTGTTTGGATCAAGAAATTGAGATTTTCCTTCTGCTTCACAAATCTTGCTCAAATTCTTGATCCAAACATAGGCTTAGTGATTAATAGTTTTAGGGCATTGATTTTTATCTGTTGTCTGATTTGATTCATGTACCTTGTTTTTTTTCTGAAATCAGAGGATTGGTTAAAGATAGCAAAAAAGGGGGTAATTTTAGTGGTCTCAAGCATTATTGTAAAAAAGGTGATTTTGGTTTGTGTGGTTGATAAAGTTTTGGATCAAGATTGTCAAGATTTAACTACCCATTTCAATTGCACTGCTTTTTTGGATTTCTTGTGTTGATTTAATAATAAAGGATTGTTTGGGTTGTTTCTCTGATTATAACCAGAAGTCACTGACTATTGAAACCGCAGTGTATTGATTTGAAATCAATCCAATTGAGAAGAGAAAGAGATAATAAAAGTAGTTAAAAAGAGTAGTTTAATTTGGTTGTGGAACATTTCTAGGGCTAGGGTTCCACAGTGAAGGGAGTTGATGGAGGAATTGTCTTCGGCAATTGCTGTGCCATTTGTGTTGGGTAACTTGATCTATGACGAGTCAATTGGTACAACCCATATGGAAATCAATGGGATTGAGCTAGTCACTAGCAAACCCTCTGTAACCAAGCTTCCTTTGGTGTGTATTGGCACCGGAAATGGAAGTTACGGTTGTAATAATCTTGAGGGTGAATCTAGTATAGTGACGGTGTCTGCAATAGAAGAACTCAATAAAGGAAGAGTGAAAACAAAGACGGTGACTGAAAGTGGAAATGTTTTGGTTTCAAGTGACACTGCTGATCAAGAATGTGGAGGGGCCGAGGAATGTAGAGCTTTAGAGGGGATTTCTAAGACGGATTTGCAAAATCCTAGGAATATTCTAAAAAACAGTGGGAATATTCCGACTATTAATAATTCTGATTTGTTGGAGACAAATACCACGCCGAAGGCTGTAGGGAATCTGGCTACGGTGGCAGTGAATAGTGAGGTTGAGGTCATTGAATCTGATGAGAAATTGTCTAGTGGTCTTATTGAGGTGTCACAGGAAAAGAAGATGAGCGGAACAGGTGGTCAAAGTGTCTTTGAGTTGGGTTGTGTACCGCTTTGGGGATGCACATCTATCTGTGGAAAGAGGTCAGAGATGGAAGATGATGTTGCAACTTTACCACAATTTTTGATAATACCTATTGAAATGCTAATGGGCAGTCAAGCTTCAAATGGCATGAATCAAAATATAAGTCATGTAACGGCTCATTTTTTTGGAGTCTATGATGGACATGGGGGCTGTCAGGTATAATTTGTGTCACTTCCCTCTTGTTCTATTCCAGTGTCTTTCCATCTTGTTCTTACTTTCTTTGCAAAATTGAGGGTTCATTTGATTGGAGTGAAAATTATGATGGAAAGTGAAGTGCAAGAAATGAAAGGGAAATGAAAATTGATTTTCTAGTATGCATTTGGTTAATGAAAGAAAGTTATAACAGTTTTCTACTTTCATGAGAAATAATTTTTTTTTGTATTTTTTGCAAGAAACTGAGACCTAAGTTACAATGCTAATATGTGTTATGCAATAAATTTTGCTGTCATTCATTTTCCACCTTTCTCATGCTAAACAAACACTAGAAAAGTTTTAAGAATCACTCTTTGTTGCACTTTCCTCCACTTTTATCCTAACCAAACTCTGCCTGAAAGAATTTTTGACTGTTAAGGGGTTAAATGTTGTGTGTTTGTTCAAGTTGATTCATTTCTTTGAGGGATTTTTTTTGGGGCATAGGTTGCTAATTATTGCCGCGATCGCATTCATTTGGCTTTGGCTGAGGAGATAGAAATTGCAAATGAGGATTTGCGTAACGGAGGCTTCAGGAATAATTGGGAGGAACAGTGGGAGAAAGCCTTCTTGAATTGTTTTCTGAAAGTTGATGCCGAGGTTGGAGGATTTCGCGTAGGTAGTCGAGGCATTGCTGATGCCTCTGAGGGTTGTCTTGAACCAATTGCTCCGGATGCTGTTGGATCTACCGCTGTGGTTGCTATTGTTTGTCCAACCCACCTCATTGTCGCAAATTGTGGTGATTCAAGGGCTGTTCTATGTCGAGGGAAAGTGCCACTGCCATTGTCAGTAGACCATAAAGTAGGGAGTGAGTTTGTGTTTCGTGCTATTACTACATTTGTTATTTTTTTCAATGTATAATTGAGGTTGGCACACTTGAGGATATTGATCTCCATTAGCATTTACTTTATTTGCAGCCAAACAGAGAAGATGAGCTTGCAAGGATAGAAGCTGAAGGAGGCAAGGTGATTCAGTGGGACGGATTCCGTGTTTCAGGTGTACTTGCAATGTCAAGGTCCATTGGTATGTATATCTAACCTCAAGGCTAACCTTAAGGCTCATTTTGGATGGTAGGAACCTTGAGCGGGAATGAGAATGTGATTTCGGTTCCCCACACTCTCCTATGTTAATCTCTCATTTCCGAACTATTTGAGAGTTAAAATAAGTAGATCGACCCACAACATTAATAATTTTTTCATAACTAAACCGAATTTTGCCATATATTCCTGGTAATGAGATCTCAATTCTTTCTCTTTGATTCTTGTCATCCAAACATGACTGAAATGCATTGTAATTGTGATTCTTGCTTTCATTTACATGTTCCCAATCCAAAATGCATCTGAAATGGTTGTCCTTGATTGATACCCAAACTCTTGCAGATTGATACAAAATGTTTTTAGTGTTTCTATGATAATGGAGCTGGAAATTGAAAAATAAGATGTAAAGTGGGTTAGTAGGTAGACCATGAATTGTAATTTAAGGTTGAAGGGTCAAGTAGCCAATTCAGCAGTAAAGTGAAAATTGACTGTGAATTGTATAGTTGATTTGGTTATATACACAGTTGTTATTTAAGATTCGATTCATACAATTTGATGCGAGGTCCAACCACAACGATTCGATTGATGTTGTTGAATTTTAAATTGAGTGAATTGTAAGATTTGTTTGTGATTCACTATGATGCTTTGCAATTCACTACGGTTTACTACGATTCTGTTTTGTTTGCATAATGTATGAAATAGCGTCGTTTTAGCAAAATAGTTTAAGAGATCAATTAAGCATATTGACATATGTGATTTTTTATATATATATATTTGATATTTATTTCATTTTAAACGTTATGTGTTTATTTTTATACATATATACATATATAGAATTATATATTATGCTAATTTATCAACAACAAAAAAAAAAGAATTATATATTATGCTAAATAAAGTGAATTTTTCGATTCACTATTCGATATGATTCACAATTCACTATTTTAGCAAAATGATTCACGAATTGACAACAATGGTTATATGTTTTGTCTGCTGTCTCTTTTGTGTGTGGAGTTATTGGAGAGATGGAAATTTGAAAGTATGAAATACAAAACAATGGGAAAACCTAATTGACTACTTGTTTTTATGAAACGAATTACGACCCAATGTAGGCATGGATGTGGGTGCATAAAGACCTACAAATTCCTAGAGTACAATCTGTGCAATGTAGGCATAATAATTTATAAGGCAGTCAAAAGATATGTTTGGTGTCATGCTAACAACAGACACTTCCTATGAATAGGTGTCAGATACTCCCTACATGTGTCGGACGTGTCCGTATCACATTGCATCCGTGCCCTGTGCATATTTTCAATGCTTCTGCAATTGTGTGTGCCCCATTGCCCTTATATCTTTGCTATGTTAGTAATGGTGAAATTGATTCACTCGAGAAAGTATTACCAAATCATCCTGACAATATCTAATCCTCTTTCGTTTTTATTAAATGATCTCTCAGGATCTAAAGGTTTGTGCTTTAGGGTTTCTCTTATTTCGGTTGGTGTGTGTGTATGTATTTCTGTTTTTCAAAGCATAAATGGACTTCTTCTCCGTGCCTATTAATTGATTGCTCTTACGAAGTTTGGCTTGCCAGGTGAGGTGACCTAACAATAAATCTCTGTTCTCTTGTATTCATGTAAAGGGCTGTAAGACAAACTAAGCTATTTGAGCTCGATTTGTGTTTGGTTCATTCGAAATTGACTCGTTATATAAATAAGTCAACTTTGAACACATTTCGAAACCCCATTAGTTTTCTGAGTTTGGCTACAACTTGGCTTGACAAGGTTATTTGCATTTTAAAATAAATCAAGCTGCTCGAGCTCAACTTGAAAGATAAACAAATTAAACTTGAACACAGTTTGTAAGGTCGTTAAATTTTCAAACCAAATTTGAATAATTTATTACTTGGCTTGTTTACAGCCCTATTCATGTTACGTTGAGCTAAGCCAGCTGTCCATGGTCATATAACCTTTTTGTATTGGTTTCAGCCATTATTGTCCTCAGTTCAACTGGGACCTAAATTTGCCAACCCTAAAAATGCTCAATTTCATTCACAGTTCATTGTTCTTCTTTGTGGGGTTTCAGGTGACAGATATTTGGAACCATATGTTATTCCGGACCCAGAAACGATGTTTGTTCCACGAACGAAAGAAGACGAATGCCTTATCCTAGCCAGTGATGGTCTGTGGGATGTCATGACGAATGAGGAGGTTTGTGCCGTGGCACGAAAGCGGATCCTTCTCTGGCATAAAAGATACGGTGATACCATCATGTCTGCGGAACGAGGCAAGGGAGTTGATCCTGCAGCTCAAGATGCAGCAGATTACCTCTCAAGACTTGCTCTCCACAAGGGAAGCAAAGACAACATCTCTGTGATTGTTGTGGACTTGAAAGCTCAAAGGAAATTTAAGAAGAAGACTTGATGTAAGCAAAGACAACATCACTAGTTTTCCCTTTTTTTTCTGTTTTTTTTTTTTTTAAATATATATATATATATATATATAGTAAGATGATAAGAAAATTCCTTTAAATTGGAATTTTATACCCCTCTGCTATTCATGCAGGCTACTGTAACTCTAGTACAAAAGTAGTGTATTCTATGTATCTTTTACAAATGGAAATCTCTCTCTCTCTCTCTCTCTCTGCTTGACCAACAAGATTTTGTAGGTGAGAGAACAAAGCAAAACACACCATAGGAAAAAGAGAAATCAACTACACAAGCTAGTATAAAAAACTAGTGCAGTGATTTTCAAGTCGAAACTGAGGCAATGCTAAAGGCTAGTGTGGGATGTGCCTATGGGTTGCTTGGTTGTGCCTCTGGGCTGCCTAAGCTTGGCTAACGGCATAGGCTTGACGAGTTCAGTTTGGATTGAAAAGTTTAGTGAGATCACTGTAACACCATCAACGCTGAGTTCAGTTTGGATTGAACAGTTTAGTGAGATCACTGTAACAGTATCTAATTCAAGTCAAATACATCGGTCGGTTTTGATTTATTAGTCAATTTTCTAATAACTAGCAAAGTTTTACTTACAAACTGTGACATGAGGCATTTTCCAAAACTCACCACATGAAAAGAGAGCTTTGATCAAGAACCCTAAGGGGTGGGCTTTGTTGGATGTAGTTGTTCTTTTCCTACCATGAGTGAATAAAGTGGCTTATAATAATTTGGCAAACTTCTGAATGACACCATCTCAAGTGTCTCAGGTCTTGTAAGTATATTAGCACTTGGCACATAGTGCTCTGCAGTGGCCGATCGGTTTAGTTTACAAGCTTAATTTGATTTAATTTGAAAAAAAAGAAAAAGAATAAAAAGAAAATCAGTCATTTATATTTCAAAATTATTCCAATAGCTTATATATATTACTACAATAAACCATAACCAAAATAACATTCCAGTTTAGAGAACATTGCAGCAAGTGTATGAAACAAAATGTAAAATGACAATACGCTTTGGGGCTGATGTAAAAAAGGTGATACTTTCTTAAATTTTCATTCTGAAGTTGGAGATTGAATAAATAAACTGTAGGGGTTTTTGTTGAAAATGATTAAAAACGCTGAGTTAAAAACAAATTTAGAGGGGTATATATATAGTTTTAAAGAGGCAAAGCGAAATTTTTCCAATTCATAGGCTTAAAAACAATGTGCTCCTTCTGGTGTCTTGCATTTGGAAAAATCTTCTGAAAGACTATCCCTTCAATGTTGGTAGGTCGGCACTCAACTAAACGATTTGGAGCTGATGAAGACAAAGAAGCACGAGAGCTGTGCCCGCACAATATGCTTTTCTGCAGCTTTCCCTCCAATGAAAGATTAGATAGTTTTGGGCAGGACAGATGGGAACCATGAGGTAAAGCCTCTGTAAAAGCAATCGGCCAAATGCGTGTGTATATTAGCTCCTCGTTCCCCCTCTTATCTAGGTATTCTTGGAGAATAAGTTAAGCATTAGTTCATCACTCTTTCTTTTGATTATAACATTGTTTTGTTTCCTTTTTATTGAGAAGAAGTCAGCCGTCTTTGCACTCATGAAACAACCAGAATATGCAAGAGATTAGTTAATTAAACGCCAACATCGCAAGGAAGTAAAGCAGGTTGGTTCCATCTATGTCAAGACTACTAAGTCTATTCCTGGTTATATGAGGGGATGTGCATGCTTTTTGCAGAGAACCAGAACTATAACTAACAAGCCTGTATTGTATCCACACAGAGAACCAGAACTAAAACTAACAAGCCTGTTTCGTATCCAAGTCAACACAAAATATGCTTGCTCAATAATTTCAAATTTAGCTGTGACAAGTTACATGAAAGCTTTCAAATTCTTCAATATCTCAACAACGAGCAAGTACAGAGGCCAATCTCCATCCTCTTTTGTTTTTCTTTTAATTTTTTTTTTTTTTGAATACAACACACTATATATATTTCTAACCTAAAGAGAAGGTAGATGAGAGGGAGACTTGAAACCCAGACATGTTTGGTAAAGGAGCGCCCAACCACTGTCCTACCGCTTTCGTCTCCTCTCTTCCTGGTTTCTAACATAGTATATCCTCATACCAACTCTTTCGACACTGATATCGTCATCCCGCAAATGCTCGGATACGCTTGCCGGTTCTCACTCTAAAATTGACTCAAGAACCATCATAATTCAGTTGTAATCGACAGCTTGAAAACGCCACGCTTCTGAAACAGGTTCCCTTGCCTGTTAAGAAATCCTCATGCTCTTCTTTTGCTATGTGCAACCATTATTTTATAAAAGATTTGTTCATCCTGCAAACGCAAAGACAAAGATTTTATCAGTTTTTCTAACCCACATGACCTATTACTTACCAAAGATGGGTTTTATGTCAGATTCGCGAAAAAGGTATGAAAGAGACTGATACTACTGATGGTTTGAATTTCAAAATTTTCATAAAACCTGTGCAGGCCTCCTAGATAGGCCAACACAGAACTTAGAAAACACCTTGATCTTAAGTCTACTTTGATATTCCACTCCACATTACATGGTGGTGGCCAATACATACGCATAACCTCCCAATTTCCAACCCAAAACTTCTTAACGGAAAATATGAATAAGATGTGTTATCTAAATCCTGTTCTAATGCGTTCCGAGCTGCTTATGTACACGACTGTAAATGTACAACAAATAACTAGTTCACTAGGTGGTTTGTACCCAATTTTCAGGCAATACACATAATGTATATGCCAGCAGAAGTACCCTATATATTTAGGTTTTCAAATTGGAGCTTTGGACATACCTAACAAGTTCTAGAATGTTGTAAGTGGACATCCTGCATGGGTGAAGTATGAAGCAAGATCAATATCCAGGTCTTCAAACATGGTGATAAAAGGGTGTGTCTGGATATCACACGAGAAACAATTAAATTAGTTGGCATCAAAGCTAACAAAACATGAGATACGTTAAAGAAACCAAAAAGTAAAATATTGTATTTGTACCAAGAGCTCATTTGCTGACCGTCTGGCGTTTGGGTCTTTCTGCACACTGAAATGGACGTAAACCAACAAAGATCAAAGAGATGAAAATTAATAAAGGTAAAAAGGAACAAAGTGCTAGAGACAAAGTTACTTGAGATGAATTATCGCCAAGGGTGTAGAGTAAAATGACTTAAATGAAAATATAACACAATACACTACGATGGCTAAATTACTGGCAACATACAGGATTTAATGAAGTTGATCAGCATTAAGTCAATGCTACGTTCAATAATGCTGAAATGACCACATTTATATACCACACTTACCTTGTCATGTGATGTGATGTGTCGCCACTGCATGGGTGACAAACATAAGTGATGGAACCCATTCAATTAACGCAATTATGACAAATGAGATGGTAAACCAAATATGATATATAAAGGTGGTCATTGCGGCATTACTCTTCTACATAAGATGGAAATAATGGGACATCACAGAATAGGAGTAAAAACAGCTCTTGAATAATTTAAATGCAACTATGCCAACCTCCAAGGAAGAGAAATAAATTGAAATGAACATGTGACATACGGGCTATGAAGCACGGACACTTCAAAATAGGTGCTATAGCGGTGTTGAACACACGTATGGGACATGCCATTTGGCATGTCCCATTTTTTTTTTTGGTATGGGACACGAAAGTGGACATGATGGGGTCAGAAAGCCCTAATCGAATCCCTATTTCTCGTCTCCAAAGCTCTAATCAAAGCCCTAATCAAAGAGAAGAAGTGACCTAACCGAAGCCCTAATCAAAAAAACCTAATCAAAGAGAAGAAGAGACCTAATCCAGAAGTACAAGAAAAAAAAAAGAAAAAAAAAAAGAGAGAAGAGAAAAGTGAATCTACGATTCTGTCGTCCATCTCGTCTCTCGCCTCTGTCTGTCATCTCTCATCTCTGTCGATTGCCATCTTCGTCGTTGATCTTCATCCTTGTCGTCGATCTCCATTCATCGAGTGAAGTTGATTGTTGACCTCATCTCTCGCCTCTCTCTCTCTCTCTCTTTGTCGTCTCTCCCTTCTCTCATCTCTCTTGTTTCTGTCATGTGTCTTTCTCACTTGTCTATTCTATATATATACATATATACAATAGACAATAATAAATATACAACATTTTTTAAATATCATATATATATATACAATATTTTTTTTTATGTATAATAAATATCATATTGTATTCTATTTTGTTTATTTAAATATATATACTTTTTAAAAAAAAGTAGAATTTTATTTGTTACAAGTACATATATATAATTAAAAAAAATAGAATTTTATTTATTGCAAATACATATATATATATATATATTAGTGTTTTAAAAGGCTCTAGGCACACCGAGGCAATAAGGTCTCCTATAGCCTAAGCACGAGGTGTGAGGAGAGGCGCGTGCCCCACCAAAGTGAAGCACAAGTACTAGAAGAAAAGAAAAATTATAAAATAGGCAAACTTTTCAACATAACAAATATATATAATTTCAAAAATAATACCTATTTCCGATAATCTTTGTTTGAACATAACATTCAATCCTCTAAAAACTAGAAATATAATATCCAACAAAAATATAAAGTATATCACTTTCTGCCCTCTTTTGACCACGTTTGGTTATATTATATTGAAGAGTTTTGAATCCCTGTCAGTATGCCCACAAAAAAAGCACTTAATCAACAATTGGAGTAGAAAAATAGGTAAAGCCCATGAAGTCCACCCCTTGCGCCTTAAAAAAAAGCCCTCGCCTCGGTGCCTAAGTTGCATCTTGCGTATTGCGCCTCACCTTAACCTATTCGAAGCGCAAGGCTATGCCTCATTGCACCTTGCGATTAGGCACACGCCTAAGTGTGCCATTTAAAACACATATATATAATAAAATAAAATAAAAATTGCCGTGTCCCCCGCCGTGTCCGTGTCCCTATTTTTTTGAAATCGCCGTGTCCCGTGTCCATGTCCATGTCCATGTCCGTATCTGTCAATTAAACTAAGTGTGCCTTCATAGCATACGGGGTATAAACTTTCCCTAGACTCTATCTTTCAGTGTTAACTTCAATTAATTGTCTGTCAATTCAATTTCACCACTAAAAATTGGGGTGAAATTAATGTAGGATGATCTCACCGTGTAAATATGGTCCACAAAGTTAGTTGAATGTTTTCCTTCCCATTACCAACATAGGTAACTTACATGACAAGTGAACTCTAATTTACGTACCATTCAGAAATAAATGAGCAGAACTCTGATGAAAATTGATCAGCAGGTGCAACGGGTGGGGGTTGCTCGACGATGGTTTCCATGAGCTCAAAGACAGTAGTCCATCCTTCCTCCTGAGGTGGAGAATATGGAAATTGGCCCACTGCACACTCGAGCAAAATTACTCCTAAGCTCCAAATGTCACTTCTGTAGCCATGTCTGTTTGCCCTGATTCTCTCTGGCTACAGCACAAAATTGAGCATGATCAACTTTTTAAGTTCAATATAAGCAGAGTGAAAATGAACAAGAAGTATTTATGTTATTCATTCCACAAATACTCACAGACATATAGTTGTACGTGCCAATTAAAGTATTGGCCTGTCCAGAGGTGCTAGCCAATATCGTACTCACACCAAAGTCAGTAATCTTGACTTCCCCTGTATGATTTATTAACAAATTAGAAGGTTTTAAGTCCCTGTGAATAATGTGCTTTTGATGATGAAGATAGCACAAACCCTTGAGCACCTGAATCCAAAAGTGCAAAAAGAATCATGTAAGGGTATTTTTCTTTATTACTAACTAATACAAGTTCTTCACTGAAAATATAAATTCCTACTTCCCAGTGTTCCTACCTGTTTACAGATGGCAGCAAGATATGGCTCCGGAATTATTTTGACCTTTTTTAAAAAATCTGCAAGGGATCCACCATCCATGTATTCCAAGACTATAGAAATCGCACCATTGTCATAGAAACACTGGTAACAAAGAACAACATATGGACATTGCGTCGAGAGATTAATTTTCAGTTCCTGTGCAATCTGCTTCCTAGTAGACTCTTCAACACTCATTTGAATAACCTGAATGTTGGAGAATAGATAGTAAGTGATCTTCCCAAAGAGTAGTAAACACCATAACATATAGAGAGGGGTAAAAAATGTAAGTACCACTCATATAGAGTATCAACTTTCAAGTCAGTCAAAAGAAAGTAAGCAACACATTTTAATATCTACTGACAAAAAGAAAGCTAAGGTTGCAATCCTGGTAGACCATTGCACCTTTTAAAAAACACATGAACATTAAAAGAGTGACCATACCAAAGGGGGGAAAAAAAGTTACTATGTCCACAATTGTGCGTCACCAAATTTTATTGAGCAAATTTTGCAATTCATGCTGTCTTGCCATCATAGAAGACTATTGAGTGTAGAGGGCCAATGTGCTAGAGTGTGGGTTTAAGGTTCTTTACCATTTGAGGTGAATTAGTATATATTAAGCACTAAGACAGAGGTTTACTCAGCCTAAGCAGTGGGTGAAATAATCAAGGCAATAAAAACTATTATACAACCGACTTAGAAGATAAAATATAGTTTGGGTATTACTGATTTTGACCACTACAATTTTTAGTCATCAGTCTCAAGACAGCAGTTGCCACTTGTCTACAGAGCCTCTCCAGTTTCCAGCAATGCATTAAGAGGGTTGGCACCATGTTCAGCCCCGTGGAATGTGGCACTAGGACACTTGAGAAAACCAGTACTAGTTGACCAAATCAACCCACGTAGGGTTACCCTAAGCAGCAACAATTGTGATAAGCCTGTTATCACAGTAGCAAGATGAAAGCTCATACAAGTTTTTTTTCCCTACACTTTCTCCTTATAACAGGAGACAAGTACCATGTTTGAGCAGAAGGATTTTGTTAGAGTCTTCAGCCCTTGTTCTTAAAGGGAAGGAACTGCTTTTCCCCTCAAAGCTTGATAATTAAAGAAAATTGGGTGATATGAAATCTGAATGTTGTGCCAATCACTGTTAGCTAAGCACAGGAGACCAGGGCAACACAATAGAAACCAGAAGTAAAGCACGTTCAGTGTGGAAGTAAACTAACCTTCAAAGCAAAAAATTGCCTAGTCCATTTGTGTTGCACCAGTCGCACAATTCCGCTAGTTCCCTTTCCAACGACTTTAATTGCATCAAAGTCGGCTAAGCATATCTGGTTGTCTAATGGCTGTATAAGTGGTGGCTGAACATACATTCACATAACCATAAATCAATTAAAAAAATTAGCTGGAATGTGCTAATAAATATTTAACTGCATCCTTATCAAAATAAGACTAATAAATTCATGCCCGTAAAAATAAAAACAATTAGTTTATTCGTGTCATCAAATAATTTAGCAAGCCTCCAAATCAGTAAAGTTTTACAAAAGCAATCTTAGTCATGGATATTCATTACATCACTTCAGACACTGTATACTAAATAAAGAAGAAGTGTCATCAAATAATTTAGCAAGCCTCCAAATCAGTAAAGTTTTACAAAGAGCAATCTTAGTCATGGATATTCATTACATCACTTCAGACACTGTATACTAAATAAAGAAGAAGAACAAACAGAGAGAAAAAAAAATTTAATTTAAAAAAAAAAAAAAAAACCAGCCAATTATATAGAAAAATATTTAAATAGCTGCCTCATCAATCTAATGTACCTTCGATATTTCTAGAGTTTAGTGATAGAAAAATTGCCAACCATTGCAACAATAATGTTCATAAGAAATTGTGCACAACACTAAACTTCTTTCTCATTGATACACCAAGTTTTTTTTTTTTTTTTGGGAGGTACATTGGAACACAAATACAACTCCCGAAGTGGGAAAAAAAAAACCCCACAAGCAGATGGGAAAATCAATCCCTTGAGCTCCTGGTGAACTGCAAGGGCTCAAGCCAAAACACCAAGTTGTTTTTGAATCTCAATTTCCAGTGGCGGAGCCAGGATTTATTGTCAGTGGATTCAATTAATAGCTAAATGAGTTAAAAAACCATACAAAACAGGATCGATTAGACTATGAAATCGACAAGGAAATTTGACAAGAGTGAATTTGCCAAAATTCAAGAAACAGAGATCAAACTCGATTTCAAGAGAAAAGTAGCATTGGAAATAGAATTATTGAGATTAACTTTACATTTTGGACGTCGCTATGGGAAACAATTCTAACTCCGTACTTGTTCACGCGTAGATCACCATCCACAAATGTTCCGGATTTAGTTCTACATGAGAGAGTTCGAGACAGAAATGTTAAGAGAATTGCAGAGAGCAAAATAGCAAGAGATTGTGTACGAATGCGTATATATATATATATATATGAATGAATGAATGGACAAGTAGATTACAAGAACTTGGAGACATTTTGTTCATCGGAAGATGGGAGTTTGAGATTGAGATTAGGGCATAAAGTTCCCAGCTTCATCGTTGATTCCTTTTTGTGTTTCATCTTCACTTCTTCTCCTTCTCCTTTCTCCTTCTCCTTCTTCTCCTGTGGAGCGCTCTCTCTCCCTCTCTCTCACTCTCTCTTCTCAAGATTCACGAGTCGGTACGACTTGCGAAGTCTTTCAAATACACATCAAAATAAAATAAATAAAATATAGAGAAAAATAATTACCAAGGGAGGGGCGCAAGCACAGGTTTTTATTCGGATCACAGACAAACTATTGCGTTTGGTAAAGTTTTGTAAATGTGATTTGAGAATTGAGTTGTATTTTAAGTTTGTAAGTTTTAAAATTATGATTTGAATGTAAAAAATTTGTTTGGTTATGATTTTTAAATTGAGTGTTGAAATGAGATTTGAATTGAAGTTTGAATTAAGATTTGAAAGTCTGATGTGACATGTAAAAGAAGAAAATGTGTTTGGTTATGAATTTTGAAAATAATTTTCAAACTATAATTCAAATTATTATAACCCATAATCAAACATATAACTTGTAACTGTATTGAGCTTATTAGTCAACATTCATAACCAAACTCTTTTTTCAATACAAATTAATAAATTAATTAATAATCTTGCTCCCAATTATTAATTTGTTTTAATAAAAAAAAATCGAATGAAAATTTTGTTCGTATAATTTGGCTCCACATAAATTTTTGATTCAAATAATTATGGCCTAATTCTTTTTTTCCTGTTAATTTTTTTTCATTTCAATTTATGTTTTAAATTAATTTATTTTCCAATTACGTTTGTTTGCAAATAATTTTTTTCCCAATAATTTTTTGGCAATTAGTTTCAATTTATTCCATAAATTTTTTGGAAAAATTAGTCTAAGGTCCCTCTCCCACTTTTCGTAATGGAAGAGATCCACAAAATTATTTTTTGATGTCTAAGGTCCTTCAACCCAAACTCATATATCACAGAGAAATTTAAGAAGTCTCCCTCTTCTCACTATCTGCTCTCTTTCTCTCCTACATCAACCCCAAACCCTAGCTTCTTCCTTCATCCTCGTGAGCAGCTAGCAAACCTTGTTCTTGCTCAAACACGTCTAGACCCACGAACCGTGGTCTCGACAGAGCTGTGAACACAGTGGGAGTGCAGTGGTGGCAGAGAATGAGGGCGAAGGAGGAGGAGGAGGAGATGTGATGGAATCGGGGGATCAACGCTCTGAAGAAACTTCGACAGTGGTCGGAGATCGTCGCCTCGAAGCCGTGAGAGATACCACTCTCAGAAGCAATCAATTCCCAAGGTCTAGGCGGAAGCCATAGAACTTCCAGCTTCAAAAGATTCAACTGCAGAAGAAAGTGGTCCCGCATTGTCAGTTACAGAGGACCTGTGATTCACTAACACAGGTTGTTCAATGAAGCTATGTGTCCTAAATGAACGTGGTTCCTGAGAAGGCTTGGGTGCTGGTGGAAATTTTTTCATTTGCTGATAACCAATCAATCCGCAATGGAAATTCCTACCAAGATTCAGCAGATAAATGCCTTAGGAATAAAATGCAAATAGAAATAAAAACAAAACTCATACCCAGGACAGAGAAGAACTAAGAGTATCAACAATCAGAAATACATCACAAGGAAACCAGTCCAACTCAACACTCCATACTTATTTTCAAAATCATAGAGTTTTGATGCTTTGAACAATATAAAGTGATGAATGATGATTAAAGTTTTACCACAATATTACTCGGTACTCTAATGTTGATAAAATATAAATATAAATTAGTTGAATTTATTGTTGCTGATAAAAACAAGAATCTTTGAAATGCCTGTGATATTATCTAGCCATTAGAAACTAACCCAGCCAGCAAGCAACTCACATACATTTGTGTTAATGTCATGAAATGATTGTTCAATTTGAAGTTTGAACAAAAACATCTCTGTTTGACTTTTCATGAAATTAAATAATCTAAATTCACTTCCCATAATTTTCACTGGGATAAGGCATAAAACCTTGCAAATGGAAGCTTACCAATATTTCAATGTCATCTCCTTTAATCGGGCTTCAAGCTTTTGAAAAAGGGAGTCTTCTCAAAATCTTGCTTATTGTGAGTAGGCTCAACAAAATTTGTTTCAAGAACACCTACAAAATACTATAACATCACTCATCAACTATCCACTAAAACTGGTGTTCTTGGGAGATAAAGTAGTATTCTGATCCCAAATTCAAACACATTAAAAGCTAGAGAGAGAGTTGTAAAGGAGAAGCACAAAGGACGAAGAGGTACTGATCTGGAGGTCAGAAAGAGAGATGAAGAAAATGAGAGGCAGTTTGTTTGGTACACTCAGTGAAATTTCAATAAAACAAACTCAGAGAAATTTGTTTAATTTTCTCTGCCTTTAACTGAGTAAAATTGGTGAAGTCAATTTTCTCTGGGTTTGGAAAGTCCAGAATTTATCAATTTTCTCTGGTTTGAAAATTGGTCAAACTGAACCCAGAGAAATTTGAATTTTCTCTGGGTTGAACCCAAAGAAATTCTTTGGAAAGTTCATAATTTCTCTGGGTTAGAAGTAATTTTCTTTTGGAGCGTTTTTAGAACCTTCTATCTGTAACACAGTGAAAGCTTTCAACAACATTTGGTGGAGGATCAAACCTACGGCAGAGAAATTTGAAATTTCTCTGGAGTCCATGAAAGGCTAAGGAGGCCAGAGAAATTTCAAATTTCTCTGGACCAATTTTCTCTGACTTGAATTTTCTCTAGATCAATTTTCTCTGACTTGAATTTTCTCTGAATCAATTTTCTCTGGATTGATGTTGAGGGACCTTAGACATCATGAAAATATTTGATGTCTTTTATACTATAAAATCATAATATCAGGGACCTTAAAAAAAATACCCCAAATTTTTTTCCAATGCATTTATTTTCATTTAATTTATTGCAACACCCATCTATATACACTTTGTCCTCCTTCACCAAGGCAGCACCAAATACACTCCCTGCTCCTGAACAAAGGCACCAGCCAACATACAAGATCAACATAATTGATATTCCCCTCCCAACACAGTCTCTATCCACTAAACATTCAAACTTCTGCCTTCAAAACACTTATATTCACTGGACGTCTGATTGAGCAAGGCAATAACATAACCAGCAAGGTGGCAAGAGAGGGCAACAGCCGAATACAGCAGCAGGGGCCCGATCGGTGGGTTGGCCGGTCGGTCAACCGGTTTCTATATTTTTTTTTTTTCCCTTTTTCGCAGTGTCCATGTCTTACTTCATACTAGTTTAGCTCATCACATTGCATTTATTAACCTTAGTTAGTCACTTATTAATTTTTATAATTCACATGTGTATACCATTTCAAAGTTCAGAGAATACTTTTTAGAGTTTCAGCGTGCTTTCCCGTGAAGGTATTCAGTGTTAGGATTATTGCTGATCCATATTTTGGACCGTTGAAATTGTGTGCTGCAGAGAAGTGGGGGGAAATCGTTGCCAAACAATAAACAGAGTTGTATTTTGAATTGTGTGCTAGAATTATGATTTGAGTTTTGTATCCAAACGCGAAGTGCAAAAACGTGGTCTGGAAATATAATTCCAGAACTCTTCCAAACAGAGCCTATGATTTGAAAACTCAAAACAAACAACACACTCAAATCAATGGGTGGAACTATAATTTGAGAGGCTTACCAAATGGAACCTTATATTTTTATATGTTTATAGTTTTTTTGTCTCATTCTTTCACATATATGTAGTTCTCCCATAAATAAGTTCTCGTTTGGTTTTTATTTTGGAGTTAAAAAAATATAAAAAGACAAAATAAATTATATATATTAATAAGATAAAATGTCAAATTTAAATCATAATCATTACACTTTTTTTTCACAAAAGTCAAAGAAATCCAAAAACAAAAGCTAAACGAGACTAAAACAGTCACACAAAAAAATTGACTACCATAACCAATGTCAAATACTTAAATAACATGAAGCATTTTTTTGAGAAATTTTAAAACACTTTTTATCAATTTTAAAATATTTTAATTATTTTTTAAACTCACAATAATTCTAATTCAAAGAATTAAAATAGTCCAAAAAAAATTTAAAAATTTATTTATATATATATATTTTGTACAAGTACAAAAGAATACTAAAAAAAGTCAATCTCCAAATGCCCCTAAATAATTAGTCAACAATACTACAAATTCAAACTTATAAACTTAGAACTTATCTAAAAAAATGAATCAATTATTCAAATTTATTTTATTCATACACCCTACATTTCATTAATTTAATCTCCATTTAGATAAACACATTCAAAATAAATTATGAATTGATATGAGTGATTTCATAACATTTTTAATAATTAATCCATTAACGCATGACTTATGTATTTTTTTTTAGAGGGGGAAGGGGGGGGGGGAGAGTGAATATTGGTCAAAGACCTTTCAAAATGTTAATTTGGTAATATAAATAAGGTTACAAATGAATAGAGTCGTTTGTAAATAGATTCAAACTCGACTTAATAAGAATTTATTCAAATTCGATTCGTTAACTTCTAAACTTATCACTAATAAACCCATTTTGGATTCCACTCTTCTATTCATGGAAGTTGTTCATCTTGGAAAAAAAAGATTAGATTAATCTAATCCTTGTGACGGTATGATTTCATTACATTTTATTTAAAAACTAAATGGTGAATTTTCAAAATCATACTTGGTACTTATTTATAAATAAATAAAAAATAGTAAAATTATATAATTATAATTATGACACTAGTTTTTTTTTAAATAAATAATTTACATTTAAAATTTTATAAAATAAATGACATAAATTATCACAGTAGAATCTATATAAATCCACTCTCTCCGTATGGTGTGGACAAATGATAGAAATTTATTCTTGAAATTAAATACAAATAAAATAATTTATATAAAATTTAACTTAATGATAACCATTCAATTTTTTTAAAAAAAAAAATCATAAAAATAAATTTATTCATAATAGCTATGTTGTCTATTGTAAAATTTTATGTATAAATAGAATTTATATATATATAATATACTTTGAATTATTTTGAAAATTCACTGTGCTCCCAAAGTGGCCTTGTTTGGATTGGTTGGCTTGTGAGATTCCAGTCAACAACAGCAACCACGACAAAAGGGCAAAACACCAAGAAGATTGTGACAGTCAATTATACGACCTTTCACACAAATAAAAAAGTAACAAAGAAGACTGATGTTTGACTTTTCTATTCATCTACCCGACGACTATTTGTTTCTTTTTTTTTTTAAATATAAATTTAGTTTAAACCTATCGGAAGAAAAAAATAAAAATAAAAGGTCCGTAGGATTTGGTTTTAAAATTATAATTTGAATATAAAATTATATTTTAAATTTTAAATTTTTGAATTATAATTTGAAAAGAGAAAATTTATTTAGTTATGGGCTTTAAAAATAATTTTGGAATGATTTGTATTTTTTTTTATTGATTGATTGATGTATAAAATATGAGAGAACGTGAAAAAAGAGATGAGAGAGAAAAAGTGATTGATTGATTAATAATATTAAATAAAAATAGAAAAGAGATGAATTTTCAAAGTAAATTTGAGTTATATTTTAAAATTTTATTTGGTTATGAATTTTGATCTAAAATTTAAAAACAAAATTGAGTTTTGAAAAGTAAACCAAAGGTTGCCAAAGTTTGGTTTGGAGCGGATTTGTATATGACTTGTTGCTATCTCGTATCATATCCGAAGCGAGACAAATCGAGAGGTGGTGAAACCAGGACACAGATTAATTTTGTAGGCTAAAAAATGAAAATGGTAATAAAAATTATAGATAATATGATATATTTCTGATAATAATTATAGTTAATAAAAATTATAAGATATAAGATATAAAATAAATGAATAAAAATTAATAGTTTGTTGAGATGAGAAAAGTCCTCACGAGGCGAGGCAAGAGACGCGGCAGCGAAGCGGGACGGAAGATACTATTAGTGAAAAAGACCATGGAACCATGCGCGTTGACCATGGGAGACTATTCCCCACCCCATCCTGTTAATACTTGGAAAAACTTGGTCTGTGTTTGGAGAAATTTTCTAAATATATTTTTACATCGTGTTTTGAGTAGGGGTGAGCATGGTCTGGATTGGACCGGATTAGGATAAAACCAGGACCAATCCGTTTTCTACGGTTCTTAAAATATTGGAACCAATCCAATCCGTTTAAATCATGGAACCAATCCGAACCAATCCATTTAAATACGGATTGGATCGGTTTAGGACCACGGATTCACATAATTAAATAACCAAAATATATTTATAACACTTTAATTTTATAAAAATATAAACAGCGTTATATTAGTTCCACAATAGCAACATATTTTTCTATAATAGCGACATACTGTTCTAAAATTTAAACAACCATAAGAAAATTGGTTTCACTATAAGTATTTAAACCATTACAAATTAAAACTAAAAACCAAAAAACGAGTAATAAAAGAAGATATTATATGGTTTTAGGTTTGAGTTTAGATTTTATATAGAATTAAGAGAAGATACTATAGGGGAGGATGTATAATAAAAATATAGACTATTTGTATACGGTTCGGATCGGTTCCAATCCGGAACCGTGGGGTTCAATCCGGAACCAATCCGTAGATTACGGATTTTTAATTCTTCAATCCGGAACCGAACCGCGGATTCAAAAAATCAATCCAAACCTATCGGATTGGACTGGACTGGATCGGATTACGGATTTCACGGATCGCTTGCTCAGCCCTAGTTTTGAGTGTTTTGTTTGTTTAGAAAAAAATTGGATTAACCAGCTGTCCTCCTAGACGTCTGGTCGATTGACCAGAACAGTATTATTTTTTATATTTTAAATAAATAAAAATTCAAAATTTTTAAATTTTTTTTGAGTTTTGAATGGAATTTTGAGTTGTGTTTTTGGTTATGAGTTGTAAATTTTTGTATTAAATATCATATGTCACATCAAAAAATTCATACTCAATTTAAAACTATTTTCAAAAATCATCCACCAAACAAATTTTTCACACTTAAATCATAATTCTAAAACTCACAAACTCAAAATACAATTCTATTATCAAATCATATTTAAAAAACTCTACCAAACGCTACCTTTAAACTTTCTACACTCTTTCAATATTTGGTATTTGGGCAACTACCATTAAACCACAAAAAAAAATTATTTAGATAAAAAACATTTTTTTCATTTTTAAAATTTATATAATGTTTTACAGAGTAAACTCTTATTAATACCATTGTACTATAAATAAATTATTTTTTGCATAAACAAAGAGCATGTAAGTCTAAATGGGGTCGCACATGATGAATGAATACCATTTATAGTCTACAATTTATGGACAAATATTTGATAGAAACTCTTATAAACTGTTTTTTTCAAAGGTGTCGGCAGTTTACTTTAAAGAATTTGCCTCAACAAACAATTTAGGTAAGGGAAAATGTTTGAAACCTTACAAAGGGGACTCCTATGATCTTTATTAATGTATTGATCATTGCCGCATTTAAATTTTTTTAAAAAGTTATGTCTAACAATAACATGAATGATTTAAATTATTTTGGAATTGTAAAAGTTAGGTTTTGTGAGAATTTTTATCATTACTGTTATGTAAGTGTTTTTTTAAAGATATCAACAGTTTATTTTAAATCTGCCACAACAATGAAGACATTTGAAATTGATAGATGGATCATGTACCAATTACAAGCATTTTTAGTCACAAAATTCCACCACTAAAGGCCACCACCACCAAGAGATTACTACACACCATTTATCTTCTTTTTTTTTTTTTTTGTTATCGGAAAATTTTCTCTCTCTCTCGCAAGTTTAGGACAACGCCCTTACAAAGATCACCAAAGTGCCTATTATCCGTTCCGAATAAGGAGACTACAACCTAAAAATTTGTCCCGACCTCTCAAAACAAACTCCGCTTAAATCAAGACACGCGCAGTGAGAAAATATTAGATCCACACCATTCATCTTTGAACCATTGTTTGGTTGTTTTTTAAAAAGTAACATAAATAATCAGTCGTGTTTTCATCAAATGTCAACTTCTTGACAACTTGCACCTCATTCATTGTAGTAATTATTGCTGCAAGAACAGTGTGCCCTCAACAATTTATGTAGAGGTATTAATCACTTCAGAAATATGACATGACACGACAGAGACAAAAATCATGCTAAATTAATGAAAGTTTCGCCATCGAGTTTTAAATTTACTACATTATTTCAAAAAATTCCATTTCATTGTACTTTTTTAATACAACATAGAAAGATTCGACTTCCATTAATCAAACACAAAACCTAGCCTTCAAATCAAACACAAACACAAAACTAGCCTTGAAATCAATTCATGAAGCATGACTACTGATAATTTAGCTACCAGTCACCAGTACAGCATAAGGATGAAATTCTGACCATATCGGCCTCAGTGTTAACAACACACATATCTTGCAGAATGTTCAGCTGCTTCTATGTCTACAAATATTTCCGAGTTCATCTTAGAAAGAGTTGTTTCCAGAAAAGACTCAATATTACAAAAAATTTGCCATCTTGAAGGCCTTCCCAAGTCTCTTCAAAACATTTCCCTACCCACACCATTTTTTTATGTTTTAAAATTAGCATTGTATTTGTCCCTCAACCAAACAATTCTTTTGAATAAAATCCTAAAATCTAATCTCTCAACACACAACATCATCAGCCACCACCACTAGACACCGCCACACAAACCTCCCTCCTCCGCCATCCCCCCCCAACAAAACCTTGTCATCCCTAGGGTTTCAACATGGTTCCTAGAGCTATGGTTTCAAGGTGGTGAGGCGGCGAACAAGGGCAAGAGTGGGGGAGGTTGTGACAAGGGTGGGTGAGGTTTTTGCGGTGGGAGGGAGTGGTTGTGGCTGTAGCAGTGGGTTTGCATGGGATGGCAGCAGCGGTGGGGGGTGACTGATGGGCTAGGGTTAGTTAGGGTGAGGGTTTAAAAGTTGACAATATTAATACTATGAATTGAGAAAAATTATATTAAAAAAAAGAAAACAAAATTCAAATTGACTGTGATGTGAGTTGAGTAAATGGCGTATTGAGAAAATCTGTGGTTTGCAAATGGGAGCTCCCCCCAATGAATTCATTGCCCTACAAGTTCTTGTTCTTGTCACAACTTATTCATGATTCATTACATTTATGAAGCTGGAGGCCTTCTGATATACCACCAAGAAGTAGAACAAAGAAGAAATCAGGAATATAGAAATAAAGCATAATCTTGCCCAAGCAATCAACTGCAGAAAATAGTTAGATTTCTTAATTGATGAACCAAGTATGAATTCGTTCTCTAGACAGCCCTATTTATAGAGAATCAGTTTATATCAAATGCAATCAGAAATTAAAAAGTATCAGTTAATAGGATTTGGTTTGAACACCCAGTGAGAAATTCAAACAAAAGACAACAAAAGAAACATGACAAGAACTCAACTCCTATGTGCAATAGTATAAATACATCAAACCTGATTCTTGACAGTGCTAAAGCATTTACATGTGTTTGCTAAGGTTCCATGACAACTAATACTGTTTGCCATGACACCTACCCAACCCTCATTGTTCAAATTATTTCTCTATACTTACCTTAAAGGCGATCAATTCTGAAGAAGTGGCCTGCTTCAGGATTCGATGATGTTGAAGGAGAATTTTGAAAGCAATTGCGGAACTCCTGATATAATCGGCCCGTATGTCTACAAAATACAACAACTTGCACGCGTCAACCCCAATTCTAGCATTCAATATCTCATGTAAAATGAATAACTATTAACTACTATGTTTAGGTTGTATTGAGCAAAAAAGTTGGTAGCATAGAATGGAGTATATTATGTGGGTGTTTGGAAAGTGAGTTTTTATGTAGGTTTTTTTAGTTGTAGCATATTATTGGAGAAATTTTTTTGTGTTTGGAAAGTTAGTTAGGTTTTTTTATGGTTGGATGCGATGTTTGTGAGAGAAAAAGTGAAATGATTATGCGGTTGGATGTGATATTTTGTTCGGATGTATTTTTTTTAGTTTTGCAAAAAGTTTGTCTTTTAGTGGGAAAAATCAAAAAAAAATTTTCCAAACCCAAGTTCCCAAACACTACCTATATAAGCCGGTTTTCTATTCAAAATGGGTTTAATGGTTCATCTGGACCGGAACTTGAATCACTCGATGGGTCAACCAGTCGAATTGTTTGGTCTGGTCCGGTTTTTAAAACATTGATAGCAACAAATCCAAATAGAAGGCCATTCATTAATGAAATTTTACAATGCCTTTGATTCGTTCAATACATATGCTTGTTGACCATCGGTTCAATAGTAAAACCTTGGCCTAATAACCTTAAGGTTATAGGTTCAAGTATCAGGGCAATCACTTTGTATGCTACACCAAAGGTTAGATGTGTATCCAATCTTTCCCCTCCCAAACATGTGTACTATTTGAATGTTATTTTTATATGCTTGCTGACTAGCCAGACCTTCTGAACTTAATGTGAAACAAAATGGACCAATCCAATCTCCATGGACGGTGAATTGTTCAATCAATTTACACTCTAAATGGAGTTTCTGTACCTTGTGATTTTCATGTATTTGGCACAATGGAACTGCAAGCAATTTGAAGTTTCTTGGCACAATGAATTTCCGACTCTCTGGTAACTTGACAAGAAAGAGTTTTGTGCACTCCTTGAAAACGAGCAAAGCACACAAGTTTAGGATCTTGTGTCATCAAACATAACTCAAAAGAAGCAGATTGTGTTGACCAATTACCTTAGGCTTTTTCACATTTGGTGGCAAATATGGAAACATTAAAGTTTCAAAGTCAGGTCTCCACCACATTCCAAGGCATTCTCCCACCTAAACATTGAGAATTAGTGCACTCAACAAAAATACTCAAATTACAAAAACAAAAACAAAGCAAAAAAATGGAAATTTCATATACCTCCCATTCAAGCACACTGCCTTCTGATAGCTTGCTTGAAAGCTTACGTTTCAGACAATCAACTTCTGCAGAATAATGAGCGTATTATTGGACCTTTTATAGACAAATGTTTTTCCCAGTTTCAAAGTCTTCACAAGATAAGATTGTCCTACCTGATTCACCTGGTCTTAAGCGACCCCCGGGGAGCTTAAAGACAGAATTACGTACTTGCAAGAGCAACAAATGAGGATGTTTGAACAATTCAACCTGTTGTAACCAGTTTTGACTATCTCTTCAGTAACATTTTATATACCACATGCTCTTAATTTTTTTATTAATAGAAGTTTAGATCACAAAGCAAGCTTAGAGCATCTCCATCAAACTAGTTTAAATTTTGTTATATTTTTATTGAAAAGTTACTTTTTCTATTTTGGCTATACACATTTTTAAGGGGCACTTTTTCATAAATCTCTTTTCACCTGTTTATGTTCCATTTAGTCCACATTATTTTTTTATATTCCAATAAGTTCTATGAATTATGTAGTTACCAAAATACCCCTAATAATATTCACATTTACAATGTAAATGTTCCGTGATGTGAATGTTCACACCATCAATATAAATGTTAACATATCAATGTGAACATGCACACGTCAATGTGAATATTCACAATGTAAAATATGAATGTTCACATCACCAAATTGCTAACCGTTCAAAAAATATTTATAAGGATCGAAATGTCCATAAAATACTTTAAATATAAAAATTAGGATTTGGTAGATCAAATGTTCAAATAATAAGACTTATTGGAATACAAGAATATCTTATGGACTAATTGGGATACAAATACTTGAAAAATGATTTTCTCATAAATCTCCCCATTTTTAAATACATTGTCTAACAAACTCTCTATGTTTTCTATATTGCTTAAATATTATTTTATTTATTTTCATTTAGAATTGGTTTTTATAAACTCAACACAATTAATTTCCAAGTATAAAAAGTAATATTTTTTAATGTTTGACTAGGCTACATTTGTTGAGCCAAAACCACCAAAACTAAAATAACTAACTTGATAGCTAGTTTGATAGAAGTGAAATTTAATAATTTACTTACTATTTTAACTAAACAATAAAAATAACTAATTTGATAAAAATGCTCTTATAAACATATAGTAATGATGGGAAAATTACTAATTACTAAATAAGGATGCTGATATTCCCCATCCTTCCTCCTTTCCTTTCCGAAGAAAATGAAGAGTTGAAAACAGAAAAAGAACTAGACATAGCAATGATTATGTCTAACCATAAATCATTGTTGATGTAATCTTCATGTCACATTCTGAATCCATAACTCCAATCACATGTTGATGCAATAATCTCCAAAAGTTTTATTGGCATAGCTGAGGCCTAAAATGGGCCCAAAGACAGAACAGATGTAACTGCCATAGACTAGCAAGTATACATCTCTGTATGAGTGCGTTGCGTAACAATATGTTAATGTAAAAATTCATGTGAAAAGGCATCTGTACTACTACTTAGTACTGACATGAAATTTGTAATAAATTTAATTTACTAGATTGACTTGGATCATCATCTAGGCCCACTCAATTTAATTGGCTAGTCATTCCTTCATACCGAATTGGGTAGACATTTTAGTCTCCCACTTCACAAGGTTTGATTTTAATGGGTAGGTATTTGAATATCTTTGACTGGTCACACGATCACTAAGGAGTAGACCCCACGACCTCAAGGCATAAGGCTCACCATGTAGGTGGTCACCCGAGTACTTCACATCGGCTCGTAAGCCTTCCCTCACCTAAGTACCGTGGATTATTCCCTCTCTGCATGCAACTACCCCTGCTCCATGAGCATATCCCCCGTTCCACGATCATCTGCTTGCCTCACCACCACCATTGCGGTCACTTCACCTTGCAAAGGCTCCAACTTTAAAATGGCACCCTAACACTACATAGCTTACTTAGGCAAAGGGTAAGGCCTAGGAACCCCCTCAGGATTGATGCCTCGGTCGTGGGATGTAAAGCAACCGCAGATGGATCGTCAAAGTTATTTGGCTCACCCCCTCAAGTTAGCTCCACCTTAACCAATTTTAGACATGAAAGAAAGGACTTTGCACAAAGACCAAGATTGACCAAGTCATGTGATACATTGGAAAGTGTATCATACATACCCACTGCTACCTTGTACGGTCTATTACATCTGCTCAATGGAACCTACAAGAGTGAGTTGGCCTCTATGGCCCAACTCTCCCATAAAGGGGGTCTCCCCCTCCATATGCAATAACTAACAACCAAGCTTATAAGCAACCTCATCATTTAGACCTGGAGCTCCTCTATGCATTAGTGACTCTTCTCCCTTATTGCCACTCTCTATCTACTCTAATAAGATTGCCTTAACTCTCTCCCTCTACACTTCTGGTGGTCTTGCGCCATCTTAGTGCCTATCATAATTCTTGGAAGATCCACGACAGACCACCTCACATACCATTACCTTACTACAGTACAATCCACTTGAGAAGAGTGGTATTCGCTAAGCATGGCTCTTTCGAGTTTCTCTGTAAAAACATGTTCAGACGCAATTCTGTGTCAGTGTCCCTATCCTCACCACTACAATATGTCTGGACACTAGAAATTTGGAATTTATCAAAATCAGATAATCAATTTCCTAAACACATATACAACAAAATCAAGTAGCAATTTTCGTTTTGTTTTGTACAACAAAAATCAATTTATCTTCAAATTGAACCAAAGAAATTAAACTCAGCTCCATTATACATAGACAACAAAATTATGCAGGAATCTTCATTTTGTTTTTGTACAGGTAATCATTAGCGTATCGTCTTCAAATTGAAACAAAATGTTAAACCTATTTCTGTTATGCAGTCGAACTCGAATTGTCTCTACCCTCCAAAGCATGTTTATCTGTATCGAAATACACACCAAAAAAAAAAACTTAAAAATATCTAATTAACAATCAATTGGGAGGCACACAAATGTGCACAAAATAATCACTACGTGACAGTACTCAATTCACACGAATCAATCATATAAACCCATTTCCAGACAATCAACACATTTCCAACAAAGAAATAGGCATTCATTATATTGATTATTCAACACTTGAGCAAGTAAATAAGCTGCTGATCTAGCTGTAGTTTATTGTATTCATATTCATTGTTTTGTGACCAACCATCAAGTATCAATTCACACACACACACACCCTAGAATCATGCACACACAGAGAGAGAGAGAGAGAGAGAGAGAGTATATCAACAAAGTTCAAAATTTCACCAAATCAGTAGACCAAAGTAGAACGGAAACAACAAGAAAACAGAAAAGGAGAGAGAGTGAAAACCAGAATGACAGCCTCCACACAAGTCCTCATCCCATAAGCAGCATAGCTGAAAGTTACCAAAACAACTAATTGAACTACAGAAGACTAACACATATAATCATAACATATACATATATATATATATAGAGCGAGAGAGAGAGAGAGAGAGAGAGACTTGGATTTGAAGCGGTGGATGCGATCGGATAAGGTCTCGTCCCTGAAAGGGAGGGCTTCTTTGGAACCGAAAAAGTAGCAGCTGAGAGGGTATATGTCTAAGACATGGTTGCGATCGCTGCTCTCACTACTGTGACTGTTATCCACCGGTAAAGCCATTGACAGAGAGAGAGAGAGAGAGAGAGCGAGAGAGATCTGGGTGTAGAAGAAGACGAAGAGAGAGACGGAGGAGGAGGAAGGAGGGGGAAAGTAGTAGACCTGTCTACTAGTGCGGGAGGGAGCGTGCTGATGTTCAAAGCAAATATACAAATAATTTGGGCAAATCACAATTTTTAATCTTGATAGTTTGATTAAAATTTTATTTTTATTTTTATTATTTTAATTTAAATCATTTGTTCATATATTTTAAGTTCAGGTTTAATTTAGTTTTTCAGTTTAAATTTCTATTAGTCTGCTTGAGATTGATTAGTGTTTTAAAATCATTAATTTTAATTTATAATTTAAACAAAATCAATTCTGCCATAGACCCTAGTCAAACTTGACCCCAGTAAGGGGGCAGTTGATGTGGAAGAAGATTCTATACACGCACGCAACTATAAAAAAAAAAAAGAAAAAAAAGAGAGATGGAAATAGCGGAAGAACAAACCCAAAATCATCTTTCATCGTCTATTCTCACCTGTCGCCGCCATAGCTCTTCGTCATCCTCCTCCTCCACCTTAGCTCTATGACATCGACGACGGCCATTGTAATCGCGAAACAAACCACCAAAGCTAGCATTATCTCGACCTACAGATCCATCGGTGTTCAATTTTATCCACCCAAACTCTGGCTTTTCCTATGTACACAGTCCAAATGATCTTGTGACTGAAGTAGATGTAATCTTTGGCTACATCTCTATCTGTCACTGTCCTCAATCTTCGGCTGCGTGTCTATGTCTCGCTCTTCATCTATGTCTCTGTCTCACAAGTACTCTGGATCGGTAGTTTATGAGGTAAACTTTTTCCCTCAGCTCTCCAAGTAAGAAATCAGTAATAATAGTTAAACAAAAAAAAATCAATTCTATATATAACTATCCCCAACCCCAAGTGACTCAATTTGGACATTTGTTTCATTAACAAATCAGTTCATACACTTTGTTCATACACTATTCCCTGATATTTGTTCACTGATATTTGTGCATACACTGATATTTGTTCATACACTTTCTTCACTAGACAAAAAATCAGTTTCATTAACTATCACCTGATATTTGTTCATACACTTTGGGGATAGTCACATAATATTTGTTCAAATCAGTTCCATTATTCAACAATGGTTCAAATCAGTAGTTGTTCTCAATTTGGGCATTATGTTAGGGAACTGATTCATTGTGTTTGTTTGGGCATTGTGTTATATAATCATTCTGAAATTATTTAATTGTTATTTCATTATGCAAAGTGGAAGAATGGAGGTTTATTTAAATGTTGGTGACAATCTTTCAGTAAATGAGGGTGAAGAAGTTGAAGAACCTAAGAAGGGTATGTGTTTTAGCTCAAGGGAAGAAGTGTACATATTTTATGCCAAATATGCTAAGCATGTTGGATTTTCTATAGCTCATAGAGAACAACATTTTGGAGATAATGGGCAATTAAAAAACTTTGCAATTGAATGTTCTCGAGTGGGGAAGAGAAAAAAGAAATTAGAAGTCAACCCTCTGAAGCCATCTTTGTCCTCAAAAATTGGTTGCAAAGCAAGGGTACGAGGTAGTGTACAAAAGGATGAGAGATATAAACTAACCACAGTTAACCTTGAGCATAATCATGATTTGATTCCCACCGACTCACATTATTTTGCAATGAATAAGAAAATTCTTACTCTTGTGAAGAGAAGATTAGAAATTAATGATCAAGTAAGGATTGGGGTGTCTAGAAACTTTATTCAATGGTTGTTGAAGCGGGGGGATACGAGTCATTGACATTTGATGAGTGAGATGCAAAGAAATATATTGAGAGAGCTAGAAGATTGAGGCTTGAGGAAGGTGATGCCGAATCACTTCAAAGTTATTTTATGAGGATGTAAGCACATAGTGAGAGATTCTTTTATATGATTGATGTTGATGAGGAGTTTCGCATTAGAAACTTGTTTTGGGCTGATGCAAGGAGTCGGGCGACTTATAAAGCATTTGGAGATGTCATTTCATTTGACACAACTTATCTGACGAACAAATATGACATGTCATTTGCTCTATTTGTTGGAGTTAATCACCATGGACAGTCCATTTTGCTTGGTTGTGGATTGTTATCTAGTGAAAATACTAACACATTTGTTTGACTATTCAAGTCGTGGTTAAATTGCATGTCAAATCATCCTCCAAAAGCTATCATAACTGATCAGTGCAAAGCTATGCAAAATGTTATAGAAATTGTCTTTCCACAAGCTCGACATCGATGGTGCTTATGGTATATCATGAAAAAATTCCGGAGAAGTTAAAAGGATATGCTCAGTATGAAGCCATAAAGTTGGCTATGCGAAATGCAGTTTATGACTGTTTAACAAGAGTTGAATTTGAGAGTAAATAGGAAGAGATGCTTGCAACATTCAATTTTTATGATAATGAGTGGTTGGGGGTACTATATGATAAGCGGCATCGATGGGTATGTCAACTATACAACGAAGTGAAAGTATGAATGCATTTTTTGATGGATATGTAAACTCAAAGACTACATTGAAGCAATTTGTTGAACAATATGACAATGCCTTAAGAAGTAAGGTAGAGAAAGAGAAGAAGGCAGACTTCAAATCTTGACACAAATTGTTTGATTGCCTAACTATATATGATTTTGAGAAGCTATTTCAGCAAGCCTACACCAATGCAAAATCAAAGAAGTTCAAGGAGAGTTAAAGAGATTAGTTTACTGTTAGCCGTTGTTTCTGAAAGAGAAATGATCAATTTCTACATATAATGTCCAGGAAGAGATGGTAGTTTGTGAGAAGATGAAGCATGTGGACTTTGTTCTCTATTTTAATTCAACTGAATGTGAAGTTCAATGCATGTGTCGGTTGTTTACGTTTAGAGGCATTATATGAGCTCACTCACTCGTTGTGCTTGTGAGAAGGTGCATAAATGAGGTGCCAAGTAAATAGATTCTGCCACGCTGGAGAAAAAATTTGGATAGAGAGTACGCATGCATCAAAACCATATATACTAGCTTTAGGAATGATTTCAATGCAAGTTGCTATGAGAGGATGAACAAAAAATTGATTGCCATTGTACAACTTGTTGGTAACTCTGAAGGCAAAACTAAAATTATAGACCTTGGGTTACATGAAATCAAGGATAGAGTCATGAAAGAAGAATCTGGTGATGGGAGTAATTTACCATGTTCTACACAACGAGCTACTAGTAGGAAGGTGATTAGTCCTTTGGTTGCTCGGCAAAGAGGCCATCCAGTTACCAAACGAAAGGTTGCCAAAGTAGATCAAATAGTGAATCGGTTCAAGGCAACGGCAAAAAAACAAACAAAAGCAAAGGCAAATTGTGTATTACAATTTTTTGTTTTATTTTATACAAACTGTAACTGTATTCAAGTATGTAAAAACAATTCATAAATTTCAATCTTTAATCATTCTTGAACAAATACAGGCTGCTAAGGTGCTTTGATTTGGAGCTGAAGCTGAAGATCAATCTCATGCCACAGCTACAGCTACAGCATATACACCGTATTATCCTTATACGGTTGGCACGCAAAATAGTATGTATGTACCGGTATATGTTCGAAAGAGGACTTCATATTAATTTCTTGTTTTCACAAATTTTGTTCTTCTAACATGTACTTTTAATTGAATTATGACAGGTGGTCAATGGTATTGAAGGCACATCTCTTACTCTATTGGACTTTATAAGAGGCACACCGGGAAGTTTGATGAGTGCTCCAACTCAGATTTATGGTTCTGCATCTCAAACCCCATCGGAGAACTCCATAAGGCGCAGAGAATGGTCACTGCCATGGACACCAAGAGTTTCAATGAACCTCACAACGTGTTCTCTGGCATTGTGACGACCAAGTCTTTCCTTCTCTTTTCTTCGCTTTTCTTTCCCTCGTCCTCCCGTTCTCCGCTTACTTTGTTGGATTCAAAATGATGGGAAATAGTTCTCTAAGTAGAGTCCTTGATCTTGTTTTATTTGGTTGTCGATTTTTACCAGTTCCGGAGAGCGTGGGGTCAGGTCCGAAGTGCCCGGGAGCGATGCGAAAATTTCCTGGGTTGCCGGGCTAGGGCCGTACGTATGGGATGGGGGCCGCACGTGCGGGAATGAGCGAGTTGGGGGAGTAGCACACTGCCTAAAAGGCATGTACGGAAGGAGGTGCGGGAAGAGCCCCCGCACGTGCGGGGATGAAGGCCGCATGTGCGGGAAGGTGCGCTCCGCACGTGCGGCACTCTGGCAGTCCGAAAACCCTATTTTTTTTAATCATTTTGAGGCCGAAAATACCTCATTTTCTAACCCTTCTCTCTCACTCTAAAAGCCCTTTTTCTCCTCATTCTCTCTAAAAACCCTAACTAAGGCACCAAAAACCTTTGATTCTTGCATCATTGGGGTAGATCATCATCATCTCTCACAACATTGAAGATCTAGAGCAAGAGTTCCACTTGTGGTGGTGGAGATCAAAGCTTCCTCTCATTCTTGAATCTTAGGGTTTCTACTCCATTTCTCCATCAACACTTTGAGGTAGGGGTTCTTGAGTTATATATACTAGTTTTGCCATTTTGATGATGATTTGAAAGCTTTCTTCTAGTTTCGATGATCTCAACTTTGTGATTTCTAAAATGTAGAGATTTTCTTCACAAAAGGATTTTTCTTTACACTTTCAAAATTTTGATCAATCTTTGAGAGTTCCATCTTGTTGATCTAAGAAATATGCTTTGATGAGGTTTTTCACCAAGAAATGGGAAGTGTTTGTCTTGAGGAAAAACCCTAGAAATTGGGGATTTTGAGAAAACATGAGATTACTTGTGAAATCCTTGTTATTTTGTGTCATGAAGATGAATGAAATGTTATTGTAGCATAATTGTTAAAAATATTTGAACATGTGTTATTAGAAATTGATGAATGATCATGTATCAATAATATTGAAATTGTAAGATCTTGGAATTTTGTTGAAAACTTTATATTGCCTTGAGAGGCTAGTTTTTTGAGATTTGGGCATGATGAGAAGTTTATTATTGCTATGGATTGATGGTTTGGTTCTTCGTGAAATAATGTTGAGGAGAAGAAATGATAAAGTGGTAAATTAATATTGTTGTAGGGAT